GGTCTAGGGCACCCGAGGGCCGAGCCGACTTCCCCGTCGTCCCCCGCGGCCTCCCCACCCCCTACTCGTTCCTGGAATCAATAGTGGCCGCTGATTTTTCACAACAATTGCCGCTGTCTAATTCATCAGCGAATAATTAAATCAGAGGCAGCGGGGCCTGCCGGAGCAGGGCGCGGTTTGGCGTCGGAAACTAGGGTTCCCCCCTTTCCGGATCCCATCAAACTGGGGGGCCCAGTGGGGAGCAAGGAGGGCAGACGGGGACAGGCCTCGCCACGGGCCCGAGCCCGGGCGCCACCCCGGGTGCGTGTGAGAAGCGGAACTCAGGTGTAGGGGACGAGCGGGGGCAGCCCGGGGGGAGGCGGAGGCCGGGGCACGGCGCTCCGACGCGGCGCCTGCCGGGTCAGCAGTTTCCCTCCGTTTGGGGGTTTCTTGCAGACGAGTCCCCCTGCCCCTCGGCGCCGCGCGCGGGGCTGCGGTTTCGGTTTGGTGCGGACCCTCTCCTCGCGCTGAATTTGCGAAGGGAGAGGAAGTCCACCCTCGGGAGGCGATCTGCGTTTGAGGAAGATGGAGAGGAGCAGAGAGAAGCGCCTAGAAACGGCATTGATTTAGACATCAATCCTGGCCGGCTCCATCCGCCTCCCGAGCCGCGGGGCCGCGCAGCCCCCTCCCCGACCNNNNCACCCCGCGCCCGGGGCCTCGACGCCAACAGGTCTCCCGAGTCAGGAGCGCCGCCCGCACGGCTCGCCCAACCCGGGCGGCGGGGCGCCCTGGAGCCCCGGTTCTTTAGAAGCAGACAAACCACCTGTGCCCCGCCAGGCCCGGCCCCGGAGCTGATTCGAGTGGCCCTCGGGGACCGTGTCCCGCCCCGCGAACGACCGCGGCCCGCACGGTTACCCAACGGCCGCCTCTGAACCCGGCGGTCCGTCAGAGCTGCATTCTCTTACACGTTTGGAAGCAAAAAAATAAAGTACCCAAAAGTGACATCGAAGCGATTTTCTAAAGATAAAACGCTCCTGAAATTGTATGAGTGTGTTCTTTTGATCGTGTTACTTTGAAAGATCAGCTCAGGTCAGCTCAGACTCTCTCGGTTACTTAATGTGTTTGGGAGCTGATACCGAGCAACCTAAAAATATATATCGTGACTTAAAAAGAAAGAAATGGTTTGACTTGCATAAATATTTTAAATCCACGGTTGGTTTTCTTAGTTTCGAATACAAATATTCCATTTTGAAATCGTAAATAATATTTCTCAGGTTTAAAATCTGGCCAACTGTTGTTTTTTTTAATACAGTATACTTTTTTTAAAATTCCATGGTAGCCAGACAATTGAAATTCTACAAAAAGATTTCTGAACTCGGTCCCATTTTCACAGAGAAGGGAAGTCCTGGGTGTTGGTATTAATGGCTAAACTATATTGAGACCTCAATCAGAAATGGTTACGTCGGGAGCAAATAAATAATCGTTTTCAGGTCATAAATAAAAAGCGACCCCCGTGCTTCGCGTCTCGGAGAAAGTAGAAAACGACTCCATTTTCAGTTAAATTTGTCTTTTTTTTTTTTTTT